AAAAAAATTTTCAACTTTTCTTTTTGCGTTAGTCATTGAAAACTGCACCTAAAGCAAAAAAAGCACTCTATTTTTACAAGAGTAATCTGACTAACTTTCGCAGTGACCAGGTATTTTTTTGCCAAAGCTATGTCCTTCTGATTCTTTGCCAGAACTGCAGCTTGTTTGAACTGTAACTGCCTTTTGAGTAAGAATTCAACTTGAACCTTCTGATTATTCCGTAAAGCTCCTCCGGTTTTACTCACGCCACCAGTGCCCAGAGTAGGTTGGGGTTTTTTAGGTTTTACCACAGGCTTCGCCCTATCCGCTGTCGCAATGTTGCCTGCCAAATTACTCCAATAAAAATTAAAATAACTAAGTTTTTGAGCAGAGCACTGTTTTTTATTGAATCCTGAAACTCATCATTGCTGGAAATAAGTATGGAAAAAAACAAGCATCTTTACTTGATTGGGCATTTCCTGTAGTGATAGATGTCTTTTTTGGCTGCGGCAGAGGAGGATAGCCAGGAGGGCAAGGCAATTCGTCGAAGTTGTAAGGCTGTTTTGAATTTAAAGCACGAATAGCCTCTTGATAGCGCTTAACTATGCGAGTGTTCATACTAAAAACCATCAAACGCTTAAATACCTCACCTACAAGTTTCGAACTGAGAAAAATTTTACTCACCGAAATTTCCGATCATCGTTATTCTTTTTGTTTTCCTCACAGAAACTTCTGTACTTATCAAGACGCTGTGTAAGTCCCTCCATCAACGTCTTTGGGGCGGGGGGTATTTCAACCTGAAAATTCCCAAGTGGCAGAGTAAACAAGAAAAGTAAATCACAATTTCAAGGGTAATGGTTGTCTTCGATAACAATTTCAAAATACAACCGTCACGTACACTAATAGGACGATATGGAGGTGGAAAAGGTGGAAGGTCATCCTCATTACATTCTAAAACCGTTCCTTTTTCGACCATCGCTATGGCTTGGTCAAACTGTTTAACCACAGTGAAAAAGCCGAAAGCACTATGCTTATCATTTGCTAAAAATAACATTTCAAGGAAACTGAAGATGAGCATACCCGACTGTAGCTAAAAATAATTTAAAATTTTAACTCGAAATTACTGCCGTAAAAAAATACTTCAAACTCGAAAGTACTTCACTTATGTAGTAATACCTTTCAAAAATTCTTCGTATCAAGTAGCAAAAATGTGCTTTATAGCAATTTCGAAGTGGCTTAACAGCCAAAACGAAAACTAAAGAACAAAAAAAAGAGAAAATAAGCACCTAAAATTAAAAAAACTCACCATCGTTCGCAAGTTTCGCGTTCTTCAGATATGCTGCACGTCTTGCCTGTAACAGTTCCATAATCTGGTCCGCTTTTAAACATTTAGAACTCTCAGGTGACTCATTATGAGGAACACTTGCCGCAGGAGACTGGGGAGTGTTGGAGGGAGAAGGAAGATTAGAAATTTTCAAAGGAGGTTCCACAGATGCTGTAGTGGGTGATTTGTTCACAACTTCTGGCGGGTTTTCCATCTGTGGAGTCTCCACAGTAATCTTAGGAGAAGTAGGTTTCTTGGCAATTCTAGGAGGGGTACTAGGTTTCGGCAAGACTGTAGATTTTGTGGACTTGGTAGTTTCCGTAGAAGTCAAGCTGTCATTAATTGCGTTACTAGGAATGGGAAGTGCCACAGGGATTTCGCTCTCATCGATGCTTTTTCCAGACCGAACTTTTTCCATGCATTCTTCAATCTTATTTAAAGACCTCTGGTACCTAAACTGGAATTCTATCTGCGGACAAGAAAAAGAAAGTGATATAAAACATGCGAATTATTTCAAGTGGCATTAAAGAAAATCAAATAAAAATATGCACCTTCTCACTTTCGGGGCATTATCTGACGCAGACTTGATTAAAGCCTTGTAGTTCTTTTGTAAATCCTGGAGTCTTAGCAACATAGCTTTATCAACAACAGAAGCCTTCGCGTTAGATGTTTCGCCATGACGCGACGTTTTAGGTTTTGAAGACCCATCATTATCCGCATCAACCAAGTTGGCAAATTCTACCTAAAGACAACTGGTGATAAAAACCACTGATTTTGTTTTTTACAATCAAAAAGAAGTTTAAAACACAGGGACTACGCCAAGGTAACAGCACTTCATGGCATAACAGAACCTCTCTCGGCTGAACAGACAAATAAAAATAGCTTCGGAACTATTAATAAAACAAAGAGTCAAGCAGTAAATCATAAAACAAGTAGTATTTTACTACCAATAAACAGTAAAAGTCATTCAAACATCATAACCAGAGAAAGAAAAGGATACTACCAACAGCTCTGGATCATCCAAATCTTCGTCGTTCGCCGGTTCACTATCGCTGTCAATATCTTCTAACGCGCTCTTCAAAGCATCAGCTGGCAAATTGAAATTATCTACAAACAAAGAAAAAAGGATTACCGATTACTGTTACCGTGTTTTTAAAAAGTGTCAAAATAGCTCAAACAGGTGCTAAAAATTAGGCTGAATAGCATGTACATGATACCCGAGGCGCCTTTGGCAGCAGAAAAATGAGATTTTTTAGAATTCTGTGATATAAAATCAGTTGGATTTTTCTTCTTTTCTTCAGCTTCTAAAGCATATAATTCGGCCAGTAGATCGGCATCGTTTTCGACATCACCATATACAGATTTTTCAAGCTGTTGCAAGTCCATCTTCAATATTAGAACATCTTGCTTTATATCTGGTCACAGAAATAGACTCAGAAAATTTAGCTGTAAAGAAAAAACTAAAAACAAAATAAGCATTTAAGTGGAGGCCAAATTGGAGAAGAAAAAAAAAGGAATCTGACCCAAATAGTCGTGTTAATTATACCGCTATTTGTGTCAGTATTTGTTAAAGAAAAAAGTTGTTAGAAAAAAACCCTTTCTTTCAAGTTATCAAAAAAATTTAAACAATAAAAATATAGCAAAAATCAATTTAGAAGATTTATGATAAATTAGAAGCCAACAACAAAAAACAAGCAGGGAGTAAAATTGAACAAAGTGTTCGGACAGAAAAACAGTTATATAACTACCCTATAAATACAGATAACACATTATTAACTAAATGTTCGTTTGAAGCTTAACACTTAATTAACAGTTTAGATCCACAATTTGTACACATTATAGTTAGTTTTTGTCACCAAAAGAAAAAAAAAGAAAAACAAGTGGTAATGAAACACTGAAGAAGACTTAAACCATCGCAAAACAAACAATGGATATGATTATTGGCAGCCGTTGGCAACAAAACAACATTTTGAAAAAAGGACTGTCGCCCAGGAATATTGCCAATATGTTCACCGGGTTTCGTATAGTCAGCGATAACGCGGGCACTGAACATCCAATTACAACAGCGGAATACAATTCACTGGGAGTATTGCTAACTGTTTAATCTGGATGCTATCGTTGTTGTTTTAAACCCTCTGCTTCTAGAAGAACGACTACGATTTAAACATTTCTACTAGTTTTCTTTGTTCCCTAACAGTTCTTAAGGATGATCAGCGTATTTGTCAATTTAAAACTGGTGGATAACCTTTGATCGATTCTTTTTTTTTAGTGGGTTAAAGAAAAATTTATTTACTTAATGGAACGGCAGTTATAAGGATGGACAAAAAAAAAAAAATGGAAGAAGGGTTCTGAAACAGTGAAAATGGATATGGAATGTAGAAAAATAAAAAATATGAACCTCTATAAATCACCAAAAAAAAAAAAGTCAAAGATTTAGCATAACAGTTATTACCTATCTGCAAAGGTACACCCAATTGTTAATTATAAAAAAAAAAAACTTTTTTTTTTCTTGTTAATTGTACTTACAGTTAAACAGATTAAAATTACAAAGATCATCCCTCTTCATACTGATATTCCACTGTTCAAATCAGAATTTTAATAATATACACAAATTTACTTCAACATATATAGTTAGTTGTTTTGGTGGCTATTTCTGCAAATGTCGTTGTTGATAGCTATGCTGAATCCCAATGCTTGTCCAGTATAAACAGCAAAATAGTTGACTAGAAGGTGATGAAAAAAAGTTGATGAAACTTTGCTTAACATATTGTTCTGACGGTTTTAACATTGATTTCTGAAACTTGACGATATAAACTCAATATAAATAAAAAAAGATAGATATTTGTCTACATCAGTGGTGATAATATTGAGTAATTTTAGTGAATAATAGATCAAAAACTTTGCGAAATTCAGTTACCAATTGCATTGTTTTTTTTTTTTTTCATTAATATTTATTTTGCTGCTAAGACTCCTGCTAATCTTAATCATCATTTAAGTTAGTGGATAATGATCAAATAACTGAAAAAATAAATAATGTAGAATATAAGTTTAAA